TAAAACAGCAATAACTCAAAGACTATTCGAAAAATCAAATAACTGTTTAAAAGTCTTGTATGCGGTTTTTTGTACGTTTTCCGATGATGCAAGTCATTTTTATTGTAATTGAATACAGAATTTCTCATATTTTTGCTGTAATACAATTTAATAGAGGATAATCATTGATCACCCATTTTCTCGGGATTGGGCAACTTTTTTGCTTGGGAACTTTTTTTGGTAGTGATGTACCTATATATCTTTCAAATAACTCCTAAACCAAGTATTTCTCACATGGGGGTCACGAACTGAAATAATTTTGGCCAACAGCCCACGGCCTATTACCTGACAAATTTAATTATGTATCAGATATGTTAATTAATATAGAAGTAAAAGGGCAGCATGATTTTGACAACCCCCCCATTTCCTGTTGAAACAAGTGTGAATATATACAACCTGATCTTGTAGATATTAATTTTAGTTTACCTGCATACAAGTCACTTAGCGTGTTATGTAAGGAGAATAACTCCTCTGGCCTACCGAAGATAAATTGGGATACATTGACAACAAATGTAAACTCAGTGAGTCAAATGTGTACAAATAGTTTTAAGGTGACCGCGTCACCATGTGTAAATGTACCACAGCAAGGCAAATTTAGTGCTAGAGAACAATGTCTCTTACCTCATACAATAGATGTACCAGTCTGTAATGATCTAGTAGACCTGTCATATGAAGTTATTAAAGAAACAAGTAAAGAACCAAATGTACAGTAGTTGTTTTGAATTCTGACCTGGAAGGCCTGTCATTTCCTGTCCAAAAAACCTCTGTGCATGCTGTTAATTCTATTACATTTAAGTTTCGCAATAATTGTCCATTCTTGCCGCAAGGTCAAGTAAGTGGTATACCTACGTCTCTTTTATGCGACACTGGAGTATCTGTCACCACGATTAGTGAGAAGTTATTTAACAAATTCCCTAATTGCAAGAAAATGCCTAGCAGTAAAACATTTCAACAAACTATCAGAACTGTTAGTGGTAAAAACATGCCCATCAAAGGTGTGGCATTAGTCCCCTTGCAAATTGGCTAGTATACACAATAGAAACCAAATACAATAAGCTCCGGATAAACTTTTCTAGGCCTAACAAAGTATTTGAGCCCGTAACTATTAATGGTAAAAATGTCGAGGTTGTAACATCAACAAAACTACTGGGCCTTACCATCTCTAATGATCTCAAATGGAACATTCATATTTCGAATACTTGTAAAAAGGTATCAACACGGTTATATTTTCTAAGACAATTAAAACGTGCCAAATTGCCATCCAACGATCTGGTCCTGTTTTATGTCACCTGTATTCGTCCAGTTGTCGAGTATGCGAGCGAAGTATTCCATAACTCGCTGCCGCATGCAGTCCCTGTCAGGGGCGGCGGAAAGTCGATAATTGGGGGGGCTGATATTCATATATTCATGTTCTGCTTCATTTATTTCCTTTGAAAGCGATTGTTTTTACAGTCTGTGAACACGAATATATGAATATCAGCCCCCCCAATTATCGACTTTCCGCCGCCCCTGGTCCCTGTCCGATGACTTAGAAAAACTTCAAAAACGTGCTTTTTGCATAATTATTCCTGATATGCACTACAAAGATGTCTTGGAGACCAAGAACATTTTGTCACTGAACGATCGAAAACAAAAATCAACAACGAAGTTGTTTAACGAAATAGCCAGCAACTCACATCATAATTTATACGACCTCCTCCCGCCATTAAAAATCGACGATCACTTTTTAAGGAATCATAGAAATTTTGAACTTCCTGTGTGTAAAACGAACAGACTTAATGACAGTTTTATCATGCACAATTCTAATATATATTTTAGATAATTGATTTGATTTTTTAAATATTTTTCAATGTAAATAGGGTTCATAGCATATATCCTTAATATCTTATATCTGTTAAACTTAGCGTAATTCAGCTGTGAAATTTTCTAAGGCTGTAAGTTCTAAAGTTCAATAAACCATTTAACTATCCTACAACAATACATTTTATGCATACATCATAGAAAATTTAGCTTATGGTGCAATTCTTGGGTCTGACTTCCTTGGTCATTATCAGGGTGTTATCATTGGCCGTATCTCTGGTTTTACGTACCTAGCTTCAACAAGAACACAAATACCACCATTCTATTCAGCGTATAAAAAACTCTATGCATCTAAACAGTGTTCGTATGTATACAATGCAATACAAGGAAATTATGGTTGTTTGAAACCATTGAAATATATATTGCAGGAAATGTGAACAAGAATACTAATTAGATACATATTTTCAACCTTTATGATAACTTTGCTTCCTCTTAATAGAGTTAGGCCATTTCACGAGTCAAGTTCGAGCCCGAGTCAAGCACGAGTCACGAGTCAAGTTCGAGTCACGAGTCAAATTCGAGTCAACCTATAAACTTCGTTTTTGCGCTTTTTACGTTAATTTGACAATTTTTATGTTTAATTTCCAATTTTAATTTGATGCAGGTAAGTAAAAATCTCACCGTTGCTTGTTGTTTATTGTTCTACAAACCTGACCCGACCCAGTCGCTTATTTCGCGTTGAATGATGGAAATGAGATGGTTTATCCCCATATGCCTGGGCGTCCTTTTACGGCAAAGGCCATGGAACCGCTATATATTTGTGGGACTGTGGACGAGCCAGTGTACAGACAAGTGAGACAACGACTATGGGAATTCTGTTCGTGAGAAATCCGGTAATTCCTAATTTGCGAGCGGGTAGCCGACAACCGTTTGTGCAGGCTTTGCAAAGCTTATTTTTGAATATTATCGAAATACCATGATTTTAGACGTAAAGAAACGTATTACTTTCTTAAATTTTAACTAAGTTAAGTTACTTTAAACGTTACCATAGCAACGGCAGTTAGCAGGTTTTTTAAATCCGAACTCCCTTGTTATTGTGTTATACCAATCAGATACTCTCTGTTTTAAAACAAATAATAATTCTCCAGAAATTCATATTCAAATCAGAAAATCTTTAATTTTTAAAAAAGTGTAGCAAGCCTAAGGCCCACACAGACGGAACGCGATTCGGCAACGCGACCAACCATGTTCCGAGGGTCTGTAGATTAGTCCCTAGTCCTCTGTGCACGCTTTTGATTTTCGTGACGTCCCCGTCACCTCATTTTAATGAGGTGACGGTATATATATATATATATATATATATATATATATATATATATATATATATATATATATATATATATATATATATATATATATATATATATATAACTTGCATACAGGCTGGTAACCTTCATTTTTGAGGTAAACAGAAAGTATAACAGTCGATTCAGAGGTGTGTCGAGGGTGTGAGAAAGATTTTTTCTGGGAAGTGTGTATAGACGATTGTATACAGTTTGAGCTTGACTCGAATTGGACTCGTGACTCGAGCTTGACTTGGGCTCGAGCTTGACTCGTAAAATGAATACACTCGATGCGTCTGCAAGTGAAGATGGCCAAAATAAAGAGTGACTCGTGTCTATTGCACAAAAGTATAACGTTCTTTTACGCCGGTTTTCCACTAACGAATTTCTTCGCGCGAAACGACATTTATATATACATGGTTAAAATTGAAAATACTTTATATAAGTAATTTTACATAAGTTCCAGCTGACTGAGCAGACTGCAGAGAGCTCATAAGACAAAAGAATATATAGTCTTTTGCGCGACAAAGTTCACTTTAGCCTCTATAGTCTCTAAAGTATATTACCTTTGTCCAAATATCGTTGTATTCTACTATCATAAATATCTTGTACTGTTTTCTCCTTTATCTTTTATCTTTACTTAAATAATATTATTTTGTATTATGATTTATGTATTTGTCTGTATGTATTTTTATATATGAACGTTTCGCTACAACTGATAAATATATGTCGTTATATAAAAGTTGTATGAACGCATTGCTTGAATAAATTCACGTTTCATGAACATTGTGATAAGGTTTTTTCTTACGTTGTTTTACTACGTTGTGACAACGTCCACTGGAGTCGACAAAATCACGTCCAGCGCACGTAAAGTCACAACGTTTTTTTTTCACGTATAAGCGGAACGTTCTAAAAACGTTGTGAGAATATTCTTTTTACGTTGTCTGACTACGTTATGACAACGTCCCCTGGAGTCGACAAAGTCACGTCCAGCGCACGTAAAGTCACAACGTTTTACCAACGTAAAAAAGAAAAAAAAAACATAGAAAAACATAGAAAAACATACGGTTGAACGCAGCCATGTTTAATGCTTTAAAATTCATAAAGATTGGTAAGATTGTCAAAAGCTAAATGTTATAATAAGTAAATTTTTGTTCTAAAAAATATGCAAAAAGTTCATAACAAGATATTTCTAAGTTTCTCACGCTTCTAAAAATAGGACTGATTCAATACTTGTTTAGTGTCGAATACGGCATGATAAAGTAATCATTTTTATTTATAACGCGTGTTTTATCGTGTTGCTTTGAAAGCCTCCCCCCCCCTCATTCCACTCCAGCTCCTCCCACCCCCCTCCACCCGATGGAGTGTTTTTGAACGAGGAAGCCAGGTTGCTTAACCGCTCTTATGGCAACGATCGTGGGGTAAACCATAGCTTCTTTCGAAAATTGAATTTTGAATTTTGGATAAACAAAGTTCGTCGTACAACGTGTCAAGAGAATTGCCCAAAAAATAATGGTGAACAAACCATGTTCTTTCGAAAGAGGCACGTTCATACTATTAGGCGATGTGAAATTTATTACTCTGCAACGATTTTGAGCAGAAATATTGGACTCGATGTCGGAGAGTATATCAGATAAGTGACTAGCCTTGTAGTTATTCATATCCTATGGGCATGTCGTTCAGTGCCAGTACTGACGACCGTTCAAGTACGACGAAAACGTAAAGCAATCGCATCATCTAAACTCGTAAACACAACAAATGCATTTCGAATGCATCCCATATATCCCATCATGCATATATTTTTACATATACTGCTGATATTTTTTGAATTATTTTGTTATTTTGAAATATTATAAAGATTAAATATTCAAAATGTATAGGACGTTCAGAGATTGGGCCGCCTGTGAATGAACCTTTAAGAAATGTATTAACATTATAGAGCAATGAAATGAAAATGTTACTCACTTGCTGTATTAATCTGCTAGTTATTTTCTTATTTGAACCAAATTTATGTGACGATATGATGATCTCTACTGCATCACCCGGTTTAAGCAAACAAGTAGCATGCAGTAACAGGCTTTACTGTCGTTGTGGAAAAAACGAAACCAAAGAGATTTTCCAGAGGGATTTTCCAAAATCCAAAGGGGCTTTCCCGAGGGACTTTCCCTCGCAACCTCACCTGTTTTTGATCGGCTATCTTTAAAACCAGGAACGGGGAATCGAGGAACGGAACGGTATCGAGGAACGGAACGGAACGAAAAAAGCCGGAATCTTTAAAACCCGGAACGAGAAAAGCTGGAATCTTTAAAACCCGGAATGAAAAAAGCCGGAATCTTTAAAACCCGGAATGAGAAAAGCCAGAATCTTTAAAACCTGGAATGAGAAAAGCCTGAATCTTTGAAACCCGGAACGAGAAAAGCCGGAATCTTTAAAACCCGGAACGGGAAAAGCCGGAATCTTTAAAACCCGGAATGAGAAAAGCCGAAATCCTTAAAACCGGCCGGAATGAAAAAAGCCGCAATTCTTAAAATAAGGAATTATTACTGTAATTAATAATTAACAAGACGCTCTGAAGGAGCGTTAACTCGCTGGGCTATACAAGTCATACAAATTCGCACATTACTAAGCGGAAAAGTCGAATACGAGCGCAAAAGGCTTAACACAGTACTAAAATGCGGTAGGCCCTACAAGTAAAGTTATATTTAGTACGCTACATTCTTCAAGACTGTCAGCTGCCAGTCGGTCCGTACGCTAGGATTTATAAACTGCGCTTTAAAACGTTCAAAATAAAATATTTTGGAGCTTTTGGGCTCAAAATACTATCAAAATGAAGAGAGAAGTAAGAAGAATCTACTGGTATACGGCCGAAATAGAGAAAACCAATGATACCAAGGTTGCATGTAAAACAGAACGTTTTAAACATAGTCCAATTGTATATGCAATTGGCAAATATAATTTTTATATTGATAAGTAAGCATTAGGGATAATATATTATGTTATAATATAGCATTTGTAAATTCTGGACGCTGATTGGCTAAGGGCCGTGTTGACATAACTCAATGTCAACACGGGAAATTTCCCGCCGCTCTTTAAATTGAAAAGTGTATTCCCAAAATTTAAGTAAAAAGTTTTTAAAATGGCCAATTTTCAACCTTTTGGCACTGGAGGCGATGCAGAAAACCCCAAAAGGTTGGCAAATTTAGAAGCAAGCGATTTAGACGAACTATAAGAAGCAGCACACTCCAAAAGGACGAAATACAACACTGCTTTCGCTGTCTCTGTTTACAAAAGTTAGTTCGCTTGAACTTTAAATTTAAGTTTACACCTCTCCAAGTAATCAGGGTTTTAGATATTATAGTTGTCTTTCAGAGTGGGCCCTGTTAATTTGTTAGGATGATTGTTTTTACTTTTTCATATGTTAAACTAATAAATGTTGTAAACACATTTGATTTGTTCTTGGACCATTCAAGTCGATTGACTTTGTTATCAATTGGCCACCGTTATAAAGTCCTTTTTGTCGATTTATCACGGTTCATTATATATATAATAAACAAATTACGTCATGGTTGACTCGTTTGTACGATTTTTATTCACTCGTTGTAAAAGATTATACTAACTCACTCGTTCGCTGCGCTCACTCGTTCGTTAGTAATCTTTCACAACTCGTGAATAAAAATCGTACGCACTCTTAAACCATGACGTAATCTCTATTTCATGAATAGTACATTATGAATGATTTTGAATGATGTTATTCTTTTATATATATCATTAAATTTCGGTAAACTTAATTGAAAGAATATAAAATGAAATTATACTTCACTATCGACAATGACTTTAATTTAATTAATCACAGAAACTTTGACCGTATAAACGAACCTTTAAAGTTCAGAAGATATATCTATTTTCGGCAAGTTGTCCGTTCGCCAAACCGTCCGTTCGGCAAACTGTCCGTTCGGCAAAGTGTCTGTTCGGCAAAACGTCCGTTCGGCAAAAGTCCGTCGGCAAAGTGTCCGTTCGGCAAAATGTCTTTCGGCACACTGTCTTTCGGCAAAGTGTCTTTCGGCAAAATGTCCGGCCACCGAAATATGCAAAAAACGGCGTATCAAATATTAATCAAAATTTGCCCGATTGAAACATGCACGATTACCAGTAAATAAATGACACTTGACAAATTGTTTATTATGAAACAAAGTATTATTATATTTACAAAATACAAGCAAGATTTATTCGTCCGAAATTTGCGTGTGTTCCTAGCACGAATACGTTTCCTTATTTCATGAGATCACTGCATCTCGAAGGATCGTCATGGATCGTTCGTAGTTCTGAATTAGGGCATGCTGTTGGAATTGTGAAGCACTTCTAACTTTTGCAACGTTCCGAAATCTTGTTAAGAACACCCAAACTCTTTTGCCTTTTCTTAATCTTGGCAAGTTCAAAGTAAACTGAAAATTATATGAAACACAATCAAACCATATAACTCCATAAGACATAGCAATTAAGCAACTCCCCAGAGACATGCAACATTTTTGGAACAAAACCTAACAAAATAGTAGCGTTGATGCGGTGATGTGTATTTGCAAAAAGCAATATTATTTCCTTCAATAAGGAATAACATTCATCCTGCTCTAACCGAGATATAATCAACTCAGTCTGTTTGAACCCATTAAAAACATAAAAAAAATAGGCTATTTAAGAAAAATTTAAGCGCCTGCCTTCCATGGTCTTTCATGTATTTTTAAGTTTGTGAAGACCTAATATTAAATACTTGCATAATTTCGAACGTTCATATTTCAGAAAACAATGAGCTAAGACTTACATGTAAGTTGTCTAAATCTACACCATATCCCTTACAAACCCTAACGATAATTCGCTGAAATACAAGTTAGCCTGATATGCAAACAAACGCTGGAGTTAATATTTGATATGCCGATTTTTGCTAATTTTAGACACATCCCAAAATATGCACCCGATTTTGAACATTTTTAATATATCCGTGAATTTTTAAGTAAAATACAACTGTAATATATCAAAATCTAAGTTAGTCCTTCCTCTATTTAATGCAAGTTATTTCTCTTTAAAAGCTTTACTTCTTTAAAAGTTATTACGAATCAAACAGGAGTACTTTTTTGGGGGACACCCGGTAAATATATATATATATATATATATATATATATATATATATATATATATATATATATATATATATATATATATATATATATATATATATATATCTTAAGATTTTGGTTTACGAAACACAAACAGTGCTCAATACCATATAGATAGAGCGTAATATAGTTTTTCGTTTTACCTCAAAGAACCACAACAGTCTGTTTCATCCGTATAGGAATCATGCAGAACGAAACAGACTGTTGTGGTTCTTTGAGGTAAAACGAAAAACTATATATATATATATATATATATATATATATATATATATATATATATATATATATATATATATATATATATATATATATATATATATATATAACCTGCATACAGGCTGGTAACCTTCATTCTTGAGGTAAACAGGAAGAATAACAGTTGATTCGGAGGTGTGTCGAGGGTGTGCGAAAGCTTTTTCTGGGAAGTGTGTATAGACGATTGTATACAGTTTTAGCTTCACTCGAATTGGACTCGTGACTCGAGCTTGACTTGGGATCGAGCCTGACTCGTAAAATGAATATACTCAATGCGTCTGCAGGTGAAGATGGCCAAAATAAAGAGTGACTCGTGTCTATTGCACAAAAGTATAACGTTCTTTTACGCCGGTTTTCCACTAACGTATTTCTTCGCGCGAAACGACATTTATATATATGGTTAAAATTGAAAATACTTTACATAAGTAATTTTACATAAGTTCCAGCTGACTGAGCAGAGAGCTCATAAGAAAAAAGAATATATAGTCTTTTGCGCGCCAAAGTTCACTTT